ACAGGTGGCCTGCCCTATGACTGCAGCCAAAAGAAGCCACCTATCTGCAGAGTCCCTGAAACTTAGGACTATAAACAAACACTCAGTGCAAAGCAAACAAAATTGGAGCTCCTGGAACAGCTGTTCCAGAACAAACACTGACAAAGAAACAAGAAGAAATACTGTTTACCCACAAGCATAAAGAAATTACATATATTGGAAACCAACATTCTCTCATTACTTTATTTTCCAGATCACCAGACAGGGCCACAGCAACGCCTGGCAGGGGACAGCTAGTATGTCATAAAAAAGAAACTTGTATTGCTTTGACCATATCATTAATAGATTCAAGGTTAATCTTCTCAAGTGGAAATCCCCAGGAAATCTTTTCTCAGATACGTGGCATACACTCATCTTTTGGGTGTATACGTAATTGAGCTGAGGGCATTGCACTCATAGATTCAGAAAGATAAACCCATTCCTTTGCAGTTGTTTTTGAGTTTCTATTTTGTTCATTCAGGCTGTCTCTCGCCAAGGAACAGTTGCTCAAAATCAACCCGAAATGGCTCATTTTAAAATATTCTCATCTCAGAGCTTTACAGAAGATACTGAAGCAATGCTGCTATGTCATTATGTTCTCTAAAGACCTTTATGCTACTTTTGTATATATTTTAGAGAAATTTGGAACAGAACTTTATAAGGTATACTCTATTTTTAGCACTTTGAATGAATAGTAAAAGTAAATTCGTTTTTTAAAGGAACGGTCTGCTTCATGTTTCTATCCTTGTGCTGGTACGTCTGTACCAGGAGCTCCAGCTTTATTTTCTTTCTATTAAATGTTTGCATGCATTCCAAAGCTTCAGGGATTTTGCAAAAGGTGACTTCCCTTGGTTTGCAGTCATGGGGCAAGCCACCTGTCTATCATTGTTAAGTTTGGATCCGCCCCTTCTCCCAGGGACATGGGAGGAGAGGGAGCCATTTTTAGTTAGTCTTACAGAAGGAAACCAAGCTATAGGACGTGGAGTAGCTTCACCCACAGAAAAGCTTCACTTCTTAAGAATTCCGGGGAGAACAGTCTCAAAGCTCTGGCAGGGAGCTCACAGCCTCTCAGCCTTACAGCATCTGAGGGAAACAGCCCTAAAAGGTTTCTTAAGAAATTCCGGGGGAAAGCAGCTTTACAGACCCAAAGAACTCCAGCTGGAGAATCTGCAAGCCTTTACTGGTAGGTCTACTCAGTGCTCAAGATGCAGTTTGAATCCGGTAGTAGAACCCACATCAGTAAGGCTTAGATAGTAGACAGCCTGGGAGAGGTTAAAAAAGGGTTTTCCTCTTAAAGTGAAAGAACAGTTAATGAAGACAGTTGCCTGTCCCTTGAGGACAAGAGTAAGGAAGCCACCAGTTGACTCAAAGCCTTGAAGCATTTGTTTGACTCATTGAAGATTTGAGAAGTATCTGTTTAATTTGTTCAATAATAAAGGACTTTGTTAAATCATTAAAGACTCTAAGACCATTTCTACAGGAAAACCCTTGAGGGCCTCTCTTCGAGGCACCCTGGCTTTCCCGCTGGGCACAAAGTGCACGTCCTATTCAAAGTCAGTTGTTACAGGTCCAACGTGTGACAGAACAATCCTCTTGTTTTGTCTGAAAGTGGAAGTCTTCTCCATCCTGTGCCTTAGTTGGGATATTAAAGGAAAAGTCAACAATGTGAATTTTGGGGCTGTTGTGTGTTTTCACTCTGTTGTTCCAGAATTTTAGAGGCCTTGTGACGACGCGAATGGTGCCACCTATGTATTGAACTGTTAGTTGCAAGATTTAAACTGCTGTATTATGCTTAATCCTGCCCCTTTTACCATGTTTATGTATAGTTGTATGGATTGGTTGCTTGTAGCTGTCAATCAGTACTGTTTGGCTCCACCTCTTCCTGCAGGAGGGGAGAGCTTCCTTTCTTTTTCATTCTACCATCAGAGTTTGTACCAGATGGACGTGAGTAAGAGACTTGACTCTAAAGGACCCTGATTTAAGTTACCTCTTAGCACCAGTTCTGAGGTTTTTACCCCTGGGACTCATGCTTTATGTCCAGATCGTCCTGGACAATTATTGAGGAGACCCAGGCGCCTTCAAGCCGGTTCTTTTGGCACCAAAGGAAGATCCTGAATCTTCAAACATAGGCCATCTGAACTGGGGTTGTGGTTTGCTCCGGCATTCACAGCCATTGAGGAAGGAGGAAACTTGGTGAGGCTTCTCAGCTTCAAACCCCTTGGACCCAGGACTAATTGAGACTGTAATGTATGTTTTCCTTCACCCCTCTAAAGTTTTCCAGCTCATTGCTTTGAAGAAATGACTTTGTGATCAATAAAACTTATTTTGAGCTATTTACAGCGTTTTGGGTTTTTGGGAGTTCCAGTTTCCTATAGGAGGGCAAGAAGCAATCCCTTGGGGGAAAGATGCCACGTCCATCCCTCCTTCATTAAGAATAATAGCCCCCAAGCGCGACGGCACAGTCATCGTCATAATCATGACAAGGATAATGATGGTTTCAGGTTGGATTTATTCAACTTTTGGTCGGAAAAAAACTCTGTAAGGAAATCTTTGGCTCCATTTTTCTATATTTATTATTAAACCGTTCCAAGCTGTATTTGTTTACTATTTATTTATTTACTATATTTATATCCCACCTTTCTCGACCCCGAAGGGGACTCAAGAAGGCTTCCAGTATAGGCAGTAATTCAATGACTTAAAGACACTGGCTGCCGATCTGCTACCAAGCACAATTCAAAGTGCTGGTCTTAACCTTTAAAGCTCTAAAGCAGTGGTTCTCAACCTGTGGGTCCCCAGGTGTTTTTGGCCTACAACTCCCAGAAATCCCAGCCAGTTTACCAGCCTGTTAGGATTTCTGGGAGTTGAAGGCCAAAACATCTGGGGACCCACAGGTTGAGAACCACTGCTCTAAACAGTTCTGGCCCAGATTACTTGTCCGAACATATCTCCTGTTACGAACCATCACGAAATTTAAGATCTTCTGGAGAGGCCCTGCTCTTGATCCCACCGCCATCACAAACGCGACTGGTGGGGACGAGGGACAGGGCCTTCTCTGCAGTCCCCCCCCCCCCCCGTCTGTGGAACTCCCTCCCCACGGACATCAGATTGGCCACTTCCCTCCTGTCTTTCAGAAGGAAACTTAAGACCTGGCTATGGGACCAGGTGTTCGACTAGTGACTGGCAGCAAGTGGAAAGAAGACTCAGGCAACCTAGGACAATGAATTGACCCAGACTTGGATTTGGTTTTTAACTGGCGTGTTTAATCAATTGTTTTAATTAACTGTTTTAATGTTCTAATGTATTTATTGAAAGGCTCCTTTTTGGAGGCTTTTAAGCAGAGGCTGGATGGCCATCTGTTGAGAGAGCTTTGAATGTGATTTTCCTGTTTCTTGGCAGAATGGGGTTGGACTGGATGGCCCATGAGGTCTCTTCCAACTCAATGATCCTATTATTCTATAGTAAAGTATTTTAATGCGTATATTTTATTGTGTATTTTGTATGGCGGTGTGTTATATTATTATAACACTGTGAGACTGTGAGACTATTATTATAACTGACTGTGAGAGCCGTTCAGCAGTGGAACTCTCTGCCCCGGAGTGTGGTGGAGGCTCCTTCTTTGGAAGCTTTTAAACAGAGGCTGGATGGCTATCTGTCAGGGTTGATTTGAATGCAATATTCCTGCTTCTTGGCAGGGGTTGGACTGGATGGCCCATGAGGTCTCTTCCAACTCTTTGATTCTATGATTCTATTATTATTATTATTATTATTATTAATTATTATTATTATTATTACATTTACTGTATTTTACCCTATTTGAGTCATAAACAACACAAATATCAATTCCAAAAGTTAAGAGGTCATAAGTCTACTTTATGAACTTGTAAATGTTTCAACAAGATGCCAGTCATACATTTATGGTAGCATTACTATATAGCTTATCATCATAACCAACTTATCATTGATGCCAAAGATGAATGTAATGCAAATAATACTTTCGTGCCTCATTTCTCGGAAAAGGTAGTGCTGGACTCTTCTTCCTGGTTCAACCTCCAAAAAGCTCAGGCAGGAGATGAATGATATATAATGAAGGGGTAGTAACTAGGGTTGTGCAATTTGGGCAAACTGCAAATCATTTCGGTGTCCCAGATTTTGCTGGAATTGACTTATACGCTTGGGTTTTCCGTATCAAGTCCCATTGTTTCTCTTCCAGCCTGAATCCTAGATCATAGAATCATAGAGTTGGAAGAGACCTCATGGGCCATCCAGTCCAACCTCATTCTGCCAAGAAGCAGGAAAATTGCATTTGAAGCACCCCGACAGATGGCCATCCAGTCTCTGTTTCAAAGCTTCCAAAGAAGGAGCTTCCACCACGCTCCGGGGCAGAGAGTCCTAACATTTGGGCATATTGAGTATTTGTGCCAAGTTTGATCCAGATCCCAATGTTTTCTCTTGGTCATGTGAATTCTGTGTGCCATGTTTGATTCAATTCCATCATTGATGGAGTTCAGAAGGCTCTTTGATTTAAAGTGAACTATAAATCCCAGCAACTCCAGCATTACCAAATGACAAAATCAATCACCCCCAACCCCACCAGTATTCAAATTTTGGGCGTATCGGGTATTTGTGCCAAATTTGGTCCAGTGACTGAAAATACATCCTGCATATCAGATATTTACATTACAATTCATAACAGTAGCAAAATTACAGTTATGAAGTAGCAACGAAAATAACGTTATGGTTGGGGGTCACCACAACATGAGGACCTGGACTAAGGGGTCGCGGCATTAGGAAGGTTGAGAACGCTGTATAGGGTAACTGTTCACATCTTGTATTGTTTGCAAAAGAACCAACAACATTGAAACTTTTCCTTTTGGGTTGCTCTTGTTTTGCACCATTTATTGCCCTGTTCTCGTTCGTGGTAGGAAAGGCACCCAGGGTTTCCACATATATGAGCTGCCCCATAGATTTCCAAACGCCCACTGTTATAGTCCAAGTTTTATTTACAATCCTTTTCTACTTATGTACAAGGGGTGGGTGAGCTTTGCCTATTTTCATTGGAGTCTGCAGACTGGGCAGACCTTTTCCTTCGTCTTCTGCAATCTCTTTCTCAGACAGTCATCCCCAACATGGTAGAGAGAAAATGGAATTCCTTTCCCAATGTGCATCATTTCAATTCTCATTTGGAATCAATCTCGCTGGCCATTTTAAGGTCCATTCCCCCAATTTGGAAGAGATCCTTCCATGTAGCTTGTCGTTTGTTGTTTTTCTGTTTTTTTAAGCATTCAAAGGCATTGGGTGACACCCAAAATTTGAGGCCACCTCCAGAGTTGAAGCCCAAGTCCCGACGCAGGTCCTAAAAGGAGTCTGCTGTAAATGTCCCTCTGCTGCAAGAACAGGGCAAGTATTTCTCTTCTTTCCTTCCTTCTAGTTCTTGAGCCACATCCCTGGATTTCCTCCTTTGCTTCCATGTTTCTTTGGCTGGAATCAGATTTCTGTCACTCCATCGCCGTTTCATCTGCAGGCTGCTCAGAAGGCACCACACTGGGTTTGTCTGGAAAGAGAAGCAAAGGCAGAGGTGAAAGGGGGAACCTCAGAAACACTGTGTTCCTACCCTTTGAACCAAGGAAAGGTGTGCAACCCTGAAATCAAGGGTGAGAAAATGTATGTATGTATGTATGTATGTATGTATGTATGTATGTATGTATTTTTTCATGCATTTATACCCAGTCCTTCTTGACCTCCGAGGAGAGACTTAGAACGGTTTCCAAACAGGCAACAATTCAATGCCAAGCATGATATAGTGAAGAGAGAGGGGCCCAGGAGGACAGTTCCATCTTGTCTCAAAGTCATTCTGCTTACATGTAGATTTTTAAAAAGAAAACATTACAATATTTTGTATTCTCCACCCCTGTGTACTGCTGCATCACAGTGTTTGTGTACAAATGTGTACGTTATAATATTTTATCTTGGAGATCTTGGAGTCCTCGTGGACAACAAGTTAAACATGAGCCAACAATGTGATGTGGCGGCAAAAAAAGCCAATGGGATTTTGGCCTGCATCAATAGGAGCATAGTGTCTAGATCTAGCGAAGTCATGCTACCCCTCTATTCTGCTCTGGTTAGACCACACCTGGAATATTGTGTCCAATTCTGGGCACCACAATTCAAGAGAGATATTGACAAGCTGGAATGTGTCCAGAGGAGGGCGACTAAAATGATCAAGGGTCTGGAGAACAAGCCCTATGAGGAGCGGCTTAGGGAACTGGGCATGTTTAGCCTGAAGAAGAGAAGGCTGAGAGGAGAAATGATAGCCATGTATAAATATGTGAGAGGAAGCCACAGGGAGGAGGAGGGAGCAAGCTTGTTTTCTGCTTCCTTGGAGACTAGGATGCGGAACAATGGCTTCAAACTACAAGAGAGGAGATTCCATCTGAACATGAGGAAGAACTTCCTGACTGTGAGAGCCGTTCAGCAGTGGAACTCTCTGCCCCGGAGTGTGGTGGAGGCTCCTTCTTTGGAAGCTTTTAAACAGGCTGGATGGCCATCTGTCAGGGGTGATTTGAATGCAATATTCCTGCTTCTTGGCAGAGGGGTTGGACTGGATGGCCCATGAGGTCTCTTCCAACTCTTTGATTCTATGATTCTAATATTATAATGTAATACAATATAATACTACTACAAATAATAATAATAATATTATAATTATATATTTTATATTACAGGTAAAATTACTAATAATCTATATAAATAAAAATGGACGTTAAGATCGTCTGGGGAGGCCCTGTTCTCGATCCCGCCTGCATCACAAGTACGTTTGGTGGGGACAAGAGACAGGGCCTTCTCAGTGGTGGCCCCTCGGCTGTGGAATGCCCTTCCCACAGAAATTAGATCAGCCCCCTCCCTGTTAGCATTTCGGAGGAAAGTTAAGACCTGATTGTTCGAGCAAGCATTTGAATAGGCAGTGTAACGAATATAGGAATATGGAACAATTGGATGATGAGACTGGATCTTGATTTTAACTATGAGATGATATGAGATGTTATATGATGTTTAATTTATTGTTATAATGCTATTGTTTTCATTGTTTTTAACTGTTTTATGATGTTTTAAGCATTGAATTTTGCTATTGTGAACTGCTCTGAGTCGCCTGATTGCTAATAATATTACAATATAATAGTATAGTACAATATAGTAATATATAATACTGATATTGTACTATGCTAATAATATAATATATTGTGTGTGTGTGTGTGTGTGTGTGTGTGTGTGTGTGTGTATATATATATATCTTGTAAGCCGCTCTGAGTCCCCTTCGGGGTGAGAAGGGTGGCATATAAATGTCGCAAATAAATAAATAAATAAATAAATAAATTTACCTTACATTAAAATAGTTAAAAATATACATTAGAACTAGTTTGCCAGATTAAAATCACCATATTAAAATTGTTGTTCCAAACAGTCCAATAAAATCTTGTCTTCTTGTCTTCCTCAGTAACAAACTATCCTGTGAACGCTTGATCCCATAATCAGGATTTAAGTTTCTTTCCAGAAGGTCAGAAGGGAGGGGGTGGATCTAACCTCATTAGGGAGGGAGTTCCACAGCCGAGGGGCCACCACGGAGAAGGCCCTGTCTCTCGTCCCCACCAAACGTGACTGCAATGGCGGTGGGACCAAGAGCAGGGCCTCTCCGGATGATCTTAAGGTCCTAGAGGGTTTGTAGAGGGAGATACATTCGGACAGGCAAACTGGACCAGAACTGTTTAGGGCTTTATAGGTTAACATCAGCACTTTGAATTGAGCCCAGAAGCTAATAGGCAGCCAAGAGCTGGTGTAGCAAGGGAGTTGTCTGCTCCCTGTACCCCACTCCCATGAGCAACCTGGCTGCCAAGTGTTGGACTAGCTGAAGCTTCTGTGCAGTCTTCAGAGGCAACCCCACGTACAGTGCGTTGCAGTAGTCTATTCGGGATGTAACTAGAGCATTTGGTTTTCTTGATTTTCAATGAGAAGCCAAGCTTTTCCTATGCTTCTGCAAAGGTGTGTAAAGCAACTGAAGATCTTCCTCTGAATGAGCACAGACTACATTATCATCAGCGTATTGGAGTTCTATAACAGAAGTTGTTGTGACCTTACTGTTGGCTTTCAGCCTGCTGAGATAAAAAAAAAAGAGCTTGCCATCTGTCCAATTGGTGATTTCCACACCGGTGGAAAGCTTCTTGTCCCCTGAAGAAGCAGGTTCGCAGCTTGGGTGTGATCTTGGACTCATCGCTGAGCCTGGAACCCCAGGTTTCAGCGGTGACCAGGGGAGCATTCGCACAGTTAAAACTAGTGCGCCAGCTGCGCCCGTACCTTGGGAAGCCTGACTTGGCCACGGTAGTCCATGCTCTAGTCACATCCCGTTTAGACTACTGCAACGCTCTCTACGTGGGGTTGCCTCTGAAGACTGCTCGGAAGCTTCAAATGGTCCAATGATCGGCAGCCAGGATGCTAACAGGAGCGGCACTCAGGGAGCACACCACTCCACTGCTGCGCCAGCTCCACTGGCTGCCAATTTGCTACCGGGCACAATTCAAAGTGCTGGCTTTAGCCTTTAAAGCCCTAAACGGTTCTGGCCCGACCTACCTGTCCGAACACGTCTCCTCCTATGAACCAGTTAGGACATTAAGATCGTCTGGGGAGGCCCTGCTCTCGATCCCGCCGGCTTCACAAGCACGCCTGGCGGGGACGAGAGACAGGGCCTTCTCAGTGGTGGCCCCTCGGCTGTGGAATGCCCTTCCTGCAGATATTAGATCGACCCCCTCCCTTGCTGGCATTCCGGAGGAAAGTAAAGACCTGGCTGTTTGAACAGGCATTCGACTAAGCAGTGTGATTGATTGACTGACTATCGGAACACGGAATATCGGATAACGAGTTTGGATTCTGATTTCATGGATGAGACCTGATGGATTTGTTATATTGATGTAGTGATGTATTGATATTGATGTTTAATGATTTGTGATGCTATTGCTTTTAAATGCTTAATGATTTTGTATTGTGTATACCTAAATTGTTGTAAACCGCTCTGAGTCGCCTAAGGGCTGAGAAGAGCGGTATACAAATAAAGTAAATAAATAAATAAATAAACATGTTTAGGGGAAAGGAGTTGGACCCATGACAGAAAGGCATCCAACATGCCCAAACTCTCTAATCTATCAAATTATTTTAATTCTTTTTTGCCTTTTATGATGAAAGAGGCTTATGTGCGAGACCATAGGGCAGTATTTATGGAACACACAAAAATCCAGATGTTTTCCTTGAATTCTTCCCATGGAGGGGTTTCTCTAGGCCCATCCGCTATCCAAACCCAGCCCACAAATTTCACCCAGATGTTTCACTTACTGGCGTAGAAGATGAGCCCAGAGACTACCACAAGGCCCACAACGACGGCCCCAAAGACACTTCCGACAATACGCCATACCGAGTCTGAAATGAGACAAAATGGATAAAGGGAAAATCAAAGCTAGCCCAGTCCTCTCCAGTTATGAGAGTTGGCAGGTCTATGTCAAGTGAGTGCTGATTTATCATTGCGACAAAAAAAAGGAAGAGGCAAATGCTTTTTTATTTTATTTCTCGTGCCAGGGCAGCCAGTCAAATATATTACATTTCTAACAGAACAAAGCAAACAAACAGAGAAAATACAAAAATGTGTGAGTTTGGTAGTTGATTAAATGTCCTTTGACCAGTATCTGGCCACTTGGAGTGCCTCTGGTGTTGCTGCAAGAAGGTCCTCCATTGTGCATGTGGCAGGCTCAGGTTGCATTGCAGCAGGTGGTCAGTGGTTTGCTCTTCTCCACACTCGCATGTCGTGGATTCCACTTTGTGCCCCATTTCTTAAGGTTGGCTCTGCATCTCGTGGTGCCAGAGCGCAGTCTGTTCAGCGCCATCCAAGTCGCCCAGTCTTCTGTGTGCCCAGGGGGGAGTCTCTATTTGGTATCAGCCATTGGTTGAGGTTCTGGGTTTGATCTTGCCACTTTTGGACTCTCGTTGCTGAGGTGTTCCAGCGAGTGTCTCTGTAGATCTTAGAAAACTATTGATTTAAGTCGTTGACGTGCTGGCTGATACCCAAACAAGGGATGAGCTGGAGATGTCTCTGCCTTGGTCCTTTCACTATTGGCTGCTACTTCCCGGCGGATGTCAGGTGGTGCAATACCGGCTAAGCAGTGTAATTTCTCCAGTGGTGTAGGGCGCAGACACACCATGATAATGCGGCATGTCTCATTAAGAGCCACATCCACTGTTTTAGTGTGGTGAGATGTGTTCCACACTGGGCATGCATACTCAGCAGCAGAGTAGCACAGCGCAAGGGCAGATGTCTTCACTGTGTCTGGTTGTGATCCCCAGGTTGTGCCAGTCAGCTTTCGTATGATATTGTTTTGGCACCCACTTTTTGCTTGATGTTCAGGCAGTGCTTCTTGTAGGTAAGAGCACGGTCCAGAGTGACTCCCAGGTATTTGGGTGTGCTGCAATGCTCCAGTGGGATTCCTTCCCAGGTGATCTTCAGAGCTCGGGATGCTTTTCTGTTCTTGAGATGAAAGGCACATGTCTGTGTTTTAGATGGGTTGGGGATCAGCTGGTTTTCCCTGTAATAGGCAGTAAGAGCACCTAGAGCTTTGGAAAGCTATTGTTCTACCATCCCAAAGCTCCTTGCTTGAGCGGTGATGGCACGATCATCAGCATAGATGAAGCTCTCTGTCCCTTCTGGCAGTGACTGGTCGTTTGTGTAGATGTTGAACATGGATGGGGCAAGCACGCTCCCCTGAGGCAGGCCATTCTTCTGTTTCTGCCATCTGCTTCTCTGGCCCTGCCCAAATCCATCCCTCCTCCCCCTCCTTCTTCTTCCCCCCCCCTTTTTTTTTCGTCAAGGAACTCCATTCATTCTTGGCCCGTTTCAGACC